TAATAGCAGTTACCCTTGCTGGACCTGTTTTGTCCCATGTCTCAACTACTACTAAAAAATTTAAATAAAAGTATAATAAACAGCTTTTAGAATAACTCTAAAATGTAAATAAAAGTGTAATTAGCCTATTTATTTATTTTCCCAGTAAAACTTGCGGCTTATTGAGCAGTGGACGGTTATGGATTTGGATAGCACTGGTAAGTTTGATCCCTCTTTGCATTAATAAATGACTGAAAATGGCACAAATGTTTGTGTAAAAAGCAGTATTGGCTGCTGCTTATTGTTAGTCTTCTCTTTTATGGTCTTGTCATGTGTCATTTCACGCATTTCTCCCATAGAATGTCTACATGAAGTTCGTTCCGCAGTGTATCGAGCTGCTCTAAAGCTTCGCACGTTACAAAAACAATGCCAGAGTGAGTTTTTCCATGTTTATTTTTACGTGAAACACAGCTGGATGCATTAGCATTATATTATCTCACCCACCTGCAATTTTCATCTCATAGTGAGTCTTTCATTTCAATCTTCAGTGCACCTGGTGTCACTGCCGGATTTGCACCCAGTTCTAAATACTTTGTGCAGTTCTGGGGAACCAGTGATTAGTCTTGCTCAAGAAGATGTACAGCAGCATCTAGAAGAGCTATTCCAGAGCATTTCACATGAGCTTCCTGATGAGACGGTTCCTGAAGCCACAGATCAAACCACCAGGCTTCTCTTTAAACTGTTTGACAGGTGAAAGATAACGACATGTTGATTCGACATTGTATAGTCTGTTTTTGTATTTATGCATGTGCACTTTAAAATTTCTGCTTTCTTTTAGAGAGCAAACTGGTGTTATTCTGCTCAGGTCAGTGGAGGCCGCGCTGATCGCCCTCTGTGGAGACACTCTCTCGGCTAAACAGAGAGGTCTGTTCCACATTCACTTAATTTCTATATCTTTCCGGATGAAATAATGTTGCTAGGATCATGGCACCATTGTTTAGAGTCTGTGTTTGTCTCATTTGCAGCTCTGTTCCGACTGGCTGAGAGCTACAGTGGGAATCAGGAGAGTGACAGGGGCTCTATCAGTCGAAGTGCACTCAAAATCCTGCTTGAAGACCTCAGCCAGGTGAGAGAAACAATCCAATGAATTAGACCCACTTCTAACACATACTAGCAAATTTCTAACTAAAAATGGTCTGGTTAAGGTTCCAGCAATGGTTCAGGAAAACCATGTTTTTGGTCAAGCTGAAGCTGCAGTGTGCTCTTGCTTTAATGGGGTATAGTATATTTTTCCAATAACTAATGACTGTTTTTACTGTATTTATGATGAAAATAAATGCAGCCTTGGTGAGCATAAGATACTTCTTCTAAAAACATTAAAACAACTGAATTATTCCAACTTTCTAAATGAATTAATAATTTTAGAAAGTTTGTCACTCACAAGAGGACCATCCTATTTTGTGGTCAGTGGCAACAAAAAGTTTGAAAATCCCTGATTTAGCAGAATATTTTATTCAAAGCAACATACAATACCGATTTTCTCTCAGGTAAATAGTGCACGTGTGACTGAAGAGCATTTTATTGGCTGGCTGCAGTCAGAACCCCGGCTGCTGTTATGGCTGTCCACTCTCTACAGGATTTCAGTGAGTGAAGCCGTACAGCACAGAGTCCGCTGCCATGCCTGTAAAGCCTTTCCTATC